TTGGTCAGCTTTTGGTCACCTGTCCCGTCCACACGTTCCCACGGGTGCAACCCTTTTACATCTTTTCACTTGTGGAACATACCAGAGCCAGCAGTGACCTTGGTTCCCACAGGAATAAGTATCAACATGGCCCTTTCTGCATACCAATCCCACTGTTACTTTAGCAACAACTATAAACATCAGGCCTTTTCAATTCTGAAAGCAGATACTGTCTGAAAAACATGCAGCCAACTTCAGAAAGTGCAGTTACTTAGAAGAAGCTTAACTGAAGGAAAAAACCTCTACTGAAAGGAGAAATGATCCTGTTTTAGCCAAACCAGGACAGAAGAGTATTCAGTACCGTATCAGGAATCCCTCCAAAAGTTAACTTCTACTCTGATCTCCACCAGCAAATTGCAACTAAGCCTCAAGTGGGAGAACGCAATTATTTAAGCTGCTAGAACCGATGCAACCTTACCATAAGTAATTCACGCTCTGCTGTTCGTTTCAGTGCACGGTAACGTTTCTCATCAGCAGACGACAGTTCTCCAGTTTCATCTTTAAGCTGCTGCAGTTTCTGAAGCTCTGGCATGCTGCAAAAAAAGGAATTTTGCTTTACGGCCTAATTGACAGCTTGGTAGGATTACAGTGGAACTCATTGTAAAACTAAATATGACACATGTACAGAACCAAAAAGAGTTATCACATCAAGCCAATACATGTTGTTATCATTACACAGTTAATCAGTTGTGTCTAGGGTTTTTTTTTTGTTTCCAAGCCCCCCTCAATCATTTCTTACCTATCCATGTTTCTGATCTGGTTATGCAATGCCAAGAAGGATACAGGAGAGTCAATTGCCTCACGACTTTTAGCACACAGACGAACCACTTTCAGTCCAGTTTGATGGATCTTCTCAGTCAACTGATCTACAGCTATATTACTCGGAGCACAGACTAACACAGGCCTTGAAAAAAATTAAGCAAAAAGTAAGTCTCAATGAGCTGTAAACTTTTTTCCAGTAGTCCTGTAATAAAATCATGTGTTACAACACATGTCCCTTAAAAATACGCTGGAGAAGAATATCTTCTGAAATAATCACAAGTCTTCCCAGAAAAATACACTTCTAGAAAACCTTTTCAGTTCAATGACACAAATGATTCTAATTTTTAAAATCAAGTTGATTCTTTGACCATTATTAAAGTAACCTCATACATAAAGATTTAGAGAGAATAGTTCTTACCCATTGCCCTGTCTAGCCAGATGATAGACGATTGTGGCTGATGTCACTGTTTTTCCAGTACCAGGGGGACCCTGAATAAGGCTCAGAGGACGCTGCAGGACAGTCTTCACAGCATAAACCTATAAAAGTTTTTTAAATTCCTATTTAGCATTCAATGCATAGGAAGTTACAAAGTTGTTCAACCTCTGTTCATAAATCCTCCCTCATACTCTTTGCGGGTAGTAAAAACGAGATGAGGTTACCTGAGAATGGTTGAGATCAGGAAGTCCTTGTGCTGTAAAGCGCTTTGGCAACTGGCATTTAATAATTACATCTTCTACCTCATGACCTAACAGTTTGTGATAGATGTACCCAGACACTGAGGTCTCATCCACAGCAAATGTTTTTAAAGCACTCTGCATTCTGAAACGAGGGAAGGACAGAAAAAAAAGTAAATCAGCATAACCTCAAATACAACTATCCACAAGTGTCCTACACAAAGGTTAATCAGACATCAGGCAGAAATTAAAATATACCTTGGGAAAAGAGAACAATGTAGAACACTTACTAACAGAACTAAGAGACAAAAATCAGACTCTGAGAACACAGACCTTGTTTTTCCCCCATGCGAATACTACAAAGTATTCTAACCAGAAAAATCTGTAGAGAAACACCAGCCCTTGACCGAATCTGCAACAGTAATTTTAGTGCAAGACCTGAAGAAAATCTGTCCTCAGTATCTCTCTTTCAGGATAATAAACAAACTCTTATCTTACAAAATGCAGTACAGACATGTCTGAAGCCTACTGACCCCACTGCCGGTTCAAATGCCATGAAATTTCAGCTTGTTAAAGCAATTCAAAGTTTAGGAATGCCAACTAAAATCAGAGTACACTTCCTGATGGAGCAGTGTTTGGGAAGCTGAACTACAAAACAGTTTTTCTTCTTGCATTCCAAGTATTACTAAACATAAGGTAAATTTCCCCCCTTGATGTATTTGCAACAAACCTTAAGTGTGCCTTCAAAATGGGAAAAACTGACAAGTTTGATGGCATTCAGATTAACTCCATTTCTAGTAAAAGTTAGGCCTGTTGCTCTATAAACCAGGTATCATGCGTTCTTAGACTTGACACATTGGGCATACTCAGATTTCTGATTGCTAGTGTCACAAACAATACAACTTTTCTTGTTCTAAACTTCCCACTGAAGGTAAAGGAAAATATATACACCAACTGCACCCACTGTCTGCCAAGTTTTAAAGTGCTTTTTCAATACCTGTCAAATGAAGTAGACTTCCATACAAAATCCACTTGGAAGTTATGAGTAACTTCCACAGGCGCTCCAACGCTGCTCCTCAGCTCAATGGCTATCTCATCACCATAATCTGTAGAACCTCGTTAAGTAGTAATCTATAGCAAAAATTTGAATTTTATTTTTCCCGATTTTTTTTTTTAGTAGATCCCCATAACAAATTAAAATTATCCCCAAATTACTTTTGTACACATTTACTGATTTCTCGGAGAGACTTCAATCTTCGATTAAGCCTTCCTGAAGGCTCCCTAAGTAAAGGATACTATCAGGAACTTTGATAACATGACCAATTCCTTTCCACAAAGGGGCCAGGTCTCCCTTATACCTCAAGCAGATCTCATCTCCTTGCATAAGACGCATGTCTACAAAGGAAGGAAAAAATGCCCTCAGAATATTCACGAATGAACAACCACCCCCCAACAGAAAAAAACAAACTTACAGTACTATCTTGTATCCCAGGCCAAATCACAGTTCTTTAAACACTGATGTTATTCAGCAGGCATAAAAAAAACTCAAACAGACAACACATACAATCGAGCTGTCATTACCTGAATCAGTCTTTGGCAAAGTGAAATAAGCAATTCTTTTCTTGTTCAAGCCCAGGTCCCATCTGACTGTGATGTTATCTTGGGTCTAATGGTAAAGAAAAGGCATCTGTTATGTTCTTAAAGAGCTGTTTGCCAACTGACACAGTCCTCACTGTCCTATACTTCAAAATAGCAGAGAAATACAAAACTTGCTGTTCCAGCGTGACAGTATAGACAATATCCGTGTTTATTCCTATGGATTGAGTTCACACCATCTGCGGAAGATAATTCTGTCCTACGAAAGTCACTTAATGAGTCCTAACCACCAGCTGTGTTATTCTCTCCCCCTACCTTTAAAACATTCATTACGTGCTTGCACGACCTTATATAATTCAAGTTTGACCAGAAACTCTGACTGACAAAGGTAAGTGCAGGTTATGAGGATAACAACATAAAAGAAGGTGGCCAAGTTACAGTTCTATGATAGAATACAGTTCTTGGAAAGATGGAAGTTCCCAAGTGTTTCAAGCTCTTTTTTAAAATCTCAGTTTGAGGATTTTTCTTTCCTCTCCAGGCTATCATTCATCACCATTACAACTGTAATTACTGTGATATAACAGTACTGTAATAAATACATTTATTTCACTTGAGCCTTCCTTCTATGCTGTTAACGGCGACCCTATGTTTGATGCCAGAGAACTGGTCAGAAGCCCCCGCAAACAGGCCTATTTCAAGCACATTACCTGAGACTCCTTGAGTTTCTTGTCATAGTCTGCCTCAAGCTTGACTAGAGGACCAAATATATTTTGGTATTGATAAGCATCTTCATATCTAAGCAGGACATGCTGTGGTTCTTCATCAACACCAGGTTTTTCTAAGTCCTCAAGGGTTGCAGATGGATTTTCCTAGAATTTAAAGCATAAATGTTTCGTTTCAAAGTTTTAAGTACAAACAAGTGACAAGCTCTCACTGTGCAACAGGATCGATAATACAGTGTTTTACTACTACAGGAAGTTACGTCAAGGTATAACAACTTGTGAAAACTATACCAAGACATCATATGTCGTGCTCGCTCACATCCAGTCGGTTTGTTATACTTTAAAGGATGTGCAGAAAAACCTCTTAAAAAGCAGTAACTGAATACCAAGCGTGGAATAACAGTTCCCTACTCATCTAGTCATCATGTAAAGCAGAAACAAGCAAAAGACTTGATATGGGGAAGGAAAGTAATTTTTTCAGATTGCCTGATAGTACAACTTGGAACAGAGCTAAGAACCGAAGGGTGAAACTTTCCTACTTTGATAAACAATTTCCTGAATCCTTTGATCAATTCGCAGTTGCATTGCTTGTCATACCTGCAGGATTTAAACCTCACGTGATTTATGTATGTTCCCTGCCTTATACAGTTGCTAAAATAGTCTTGTCCCTCCTTCATAAAAACACGAAATTACCACTTGGTAAAATAAAACCAGTATTTGAAAAGCAGCACATACCTTCCAAAGTTCTTCCAGTTTGTTAATCTGTTGAGCTGTAATCTGACGTGCTCTCAATTGTTCCTGTTCAGATGGAATCTTTACCAACCACGAAAGGAAACAACGATCTTGTATAAGAGGCTGCCACTGTGAACTGTCCCAATTAATATCCTTTAAACTGCTCTGACTGGCACATGGCTGCCTGCACAACCAAAACATTGGAAAAAATTATTAAATTAGACAAGTGTAAGAAGCAGTCTATCATGTGAAGTGTAAAAATAGGTTTATCACGCTGTTAAAACAACTCAAGTACCCCAGTTAAAAGGAAAAACACAAAACCATCCTAGCCTGCTGGGCCAATTAATTTTTTAGTCCCTGTATTTGCTATTTCAACAGTGGGAAGGCTCAGTATGACAAGCAGTATTTCTTGGGTGTTTCCAGAACTGAAGATTTCAGCATCTAAAATATTAAATGTGACACTCACCTTTGAAAGTGGTTACAGTCCATTAAGATTATGCACACATGTAATACATCAGAAAATACTCGGGATTACTTCCCATCTGTTGTTTAAACAAATAGAAGAACTCATTCCATAGAAACACACCTTCTACTGTCAAATACACAGTGACAGCATTTAATTAAAATACATACAATTATAAAATCATGACTTCTGATAGAACCTGTCAGAAAATAATTTCCGATTTACTGTCATCTTCAAATGATTCTATGAGCTGACAGAAAAACATACTGTGTAATAGTCACTATTCCAGTAGAGTTCTACACTAATTTCCTGAAATGATCTGTTACTCTTCCAAATCTGAAAATCAGAGTTTGAAAAAGGGGAAAAACACTTTTCTTCCATTAAGGACTGCTTCATTTGGGAGAAATACTTTTCTATAGAACTAAGACATTTGCTCAGCATAACAGAATGTTCCTTTACTGCATTATCTACTGATATGCAATTCATGAAGTCTGTATGATCATCTAAAGGAAAAACGGTGGCAAATTAAGAGTATAAAAAAATATTTTGGTACAGAATGAAAGCGAGCCTTGCCCTTTAGAAATAAGGTTATGCAATAGACTTGACACAAACATGCCAACAAAGGCATTCTCTCACCTGCACAGCAAAACAACCACAGAGTCTGCCTTAGCTGGAATAAAGCCAAGGAGAAACACATTACGACATCCACAGTTATAACATTCCAAGACAGTCTCTCCTAGAGGTCCATCTTTGTGGAGAGTCACCTCTTTACACTTCGCTCTCACAAGATGATTAACAATGTGGCTGAAACCAAAGAGGACATACATTTATTTTAAGTTAACACGAAAATCACATTTAGTCCTAACTTAAGGTATCAGCTCAGTTATTAAAAGGCACAAACAAAATCTATTCACATTGTGGTAGACATTGGTAAGATCTTGCACTTTTCATCCAAGCAAAGATACTGCTAACACAGTTTCAGTGGTTTCTCAGTGCCTGAATGCTTTAAGATAGATAAGCGTGAAAGAATAGGAAACATAAAAAATTCTTTTTATGTTACTGATAAGTGAAAGAAGCCTCCTGAAGCTCTAAAGGTCAAGAGCATCAGTTCTGCTGTGCTTTGCAAAAACACACAATGGTGGAAGAAGCAGGAAGCTCACTTCACAGAAGTGATTCAAGTTTTGCTGAGACTGAGGTCTAAGTTGGTAACAGCGGAACAGCTAGAGGCAGCTAAGGTTCACTTTAAGTCACTAGACTTCAATTATCATCAAAACGTAAGTCACAGCCATCACACCACTTCAAAACAAACACAGTAAAAACAAGATTGCCACTGTTATTTCCATCATTTGACCGCTTACCTGCCAGATGTATTTCCACGCCCGTTACAGAACCACTTTTTGCTGGTGTTACAGTAAACCACGCAAGCAGGGTCATGGATACCACAGTAACTGGGATTAAAAATGAAAACACAGGAAGTGATTGGGTACTTGCTTACAGGAAAATTCAACTACAAGGCTTAAGCTACCTAGCAGTGTACCAAGGTAAGGGGAAGTGAAAATTAGGGAACACGAATGTTGGTAAAAGCATCAAACACGAGTCGAACTTCTGCTCTGAGTCACAAGTATTTTAACACTTCCCACCATTACCATCCCTAGGCTGGCTTAGCCTTCTATTTATTCCTCAAGGGAGGTCAAAGACCCACTGGACGTGGCAGCTGTAAGCATCCACAAGAGCTCACCAGAGGGCACCACTCTCCTACCAGTCCACAGCTGTCTCCCAGGAAGTTGCTCTCAAAATCCAAAAATCCTCTAAGCATACTCCTTTCCTTCCCACAAACTGCTCCTGCCCTCTGGAAATAACAAGCCTGCGGCAAAGATTAGCTCTTACCTGCAAGCATGCACAGGAAGATCCTTTGTGTAATAGGTATCTTCTTCATCTTCTTCAAAATTCAACTCTGCCAGAAGCTGGCTGGTTTTAGCCACATTATCATCTACAGCTCCATTCTGTAGAATGCCATCAGGTCCATTAACCTGAAATACAAGGTCAGTGCATAAGTTACACAACCAAAATAGACTCCAAAACATAAAGCCAAGGACAGTAATCCCTACTCCCCAAAGCAAAAACTTGTATTTAATTTAGAAATTCTCAAAAGGAAAGAAAAATGCTGGTAAGAGCTGAAACACATACCAGTTATATAATCAATACTTGCTTCATTAGCTCCTATTTTACAGTATTATTTAAACTCGAACTGATAAGTAGAGAAAAGTTAAAAAAAGGAGATTGCTTTTCTGCAGATTACATTTTTCCATACAGTCTTACACAACCCACAAAATTCCACTTAAACAATTCCAGCAGTATCAAACGTTGTTCTTTCATCCTTCATTTTACTCCAGGAACCTACCTGAAAACAGGATCTTTATTGTATAGGACTCTGCCCACCTATTTCTGCAGTTCTCTATCCACCAAATCAATGTTCCCCCCCCCACCTCCCAAGATATCAGAAGCATGACTCCATGACACTTGGACAATAGAGAGCAGGTAATCAAGAAACCTATTGTCATATAAGCCTAATTAAAAATTGAAATAGTGCAAGAAATAACAGAAACTGGTTTTCAGCAGAGTGTCTAACTCTCCAGGCAGCATCCCCTGTTCAAGATGTACTAATCATATTACATACAGAAACAAGCAAATATACTTGCAAAATAGGCCAGATATGACAGTCACTATTGTGTTACTTTAAATTTGTTTTAGCTGCGGTATGACTTCCTTTAAAAGAATGAGGTCTCTCTAAGTTACCCAAGAAAACTGCAAAAATCCAAAGCTCGTAATGCAGCTCAAGTTTTCAGAGATCAAGCTGTGTGTGTGCTAACACAGCATATACAAACCAGGTGTGCGCACTCTCTGTCCACTGACAATCCACGAACTGCCAGAACCATGAAGTTCTACAACACTTGGTGCTGCATCAGCAACTTTTACACACCGAGCCTTTCTCATGTTACAAATAACTCCTTTTTGGCAATGTTTAGTACAGTGCATTTACCACCAGGAAGGAGCAGCAAGAAGCGTGAATGTCACAAATCGGATTTTGGCATGGCTAACACAGCCCTTGCCCGTTGGGCCTCGCAGGTGTTCTAGTTCACTCCCACTGCTGCCCCTCTACAGACTAACAGCCATGGGTACCTTCAGCACCTTAACGCAATGTTGTCAAGAACCCCCAAGGTGGCTAGGTCCTCACACCCCCCAAAACTTCGTTCACTCAATTCTTTGACTTCCTTAGCCAAGCTCTCTAAAATCTGGGAAGAGGTAAGCATACCATAATCCACATTAACTTTCAGTGGAAAAAGGTGGGAAAGGGATCACCACAGTGACTGCAGTGATTAGCACAATATTAACAAAACATTTGAGATGAGCACTGTGAGGTAGTTTCCCTACCACAGCAGAATCAGACATATTAAAAAAACCCAGTGTTTTTAAAGGTATTGGGTTAGACAAGATTTATTTCTAAAATTTTAACTACCAAATAAATGGGAGCATAAGAATCACTCAAGGCCTTTGTCTATCAATACAATATTTTAATAACTCTTTTGCACTTAGACATTTAATGCAATTTATCTGCTATCTGTAACTTAATTCTCTGACAAGAGATGAGAAAGCTGCCCACAGTGAGAATGCTAAATCTTTATTAAAAGAAATTTGGTAAAAATAGTTGCTGTAGCATTTAAGCTGTAACTCATAAGCAAATCAAGACAAGCTTACTTCTCCGAAAGTCTCATTTAGATTCCACGCCAGCTAGTTTCAGTATTGCACATTAAAATTTAACAGCCAATTGCAAGAGTTAAATTTGAAAATAAGTGTAAGCCACTTCACATTTGCCCTCAGCAGTAAGGAACTGGACTCAATGCACAAGCTTTGTTTCATTATCTTCAAATGAAATGAGGTACATTTGCAAAACACAATCTAAACGGCATCAGTTTTTATGGATGTTACCTCCAAGTACTGGCTTTTAATAGAAAGAATCAGCCAAGAAGAACTGTCAGCATAGAATGTGCAAAAAAAGCAGAGGGAAAAAGGAAAAAAAGAATGGAAGAAACTGCAGCAGCATGCAACAACTCATTAGTATGATGAGCCCAAATCCAATCAGCTCTCTGTGTAATAGCATCCCTACAGATGTTTGAAGATAAATACCCATTTTAAATAGATGGTGCCATCTTACAAAACATGAAGATAACTTATTAACTGATCATGGAACAGGTGGAATTCCAAAGCCTTAAGTTGATCTGAATTTCCTAGGAGCATGAACACCAGGCATTCACAGGTGCAGTTCTACCAGTCTATTCCAAAGAGCCGTAATACATTATTATACACATCAGCCAACAAGTTTAATCAATTTTTTGGGGTGCTCATAAAAAATTGGGTTACTGAACACTAATAAAATTGTAAAGCTTCTGTTTTTTTTAAGGCAGAAACCCAAGAAACTACAACTGCAAGCTATTTGTACTTCTGCACCAGGTGACTCTGTTAGTTACACCCAGGGGAGCTCCTACCCTTTCCGAGAGTAAGGCAGGAATGATGTCACCTGTTACTATGAAAATCCAGCAGCGAGTACTAGGCCTTGGCAGGCACACAATGAGGAAGTGACTCAACTATTGTTCTAAACCCTACTGTGATGTTAGCCTATGTGCATATTATTAAAAATCTGGCACCATCAACTGTTGTATAAGGGGGAGGGGGTGCTTCTCTATTTTAAAAGTGTTGACTGAAACTTCTGGCACAGCAAGTTTAACAGCTACAGCAATCTGAACACGGAGGTGCTCTGAAACTATCAGCGAGGCACCGGTCCCTCCCTTGCTCCTTTTTTGGCCTCTAAAATGCTGGCCGAGAGACAACAGTAAAGGTCCAGGGAACTGAGTTACAGAACAGTAAGCCAGACGATGTAGTGGCTTCTACTGACTGTGTGTAAGCGAGTCCCCACATCGGTGGTAACAGAACATGACCATCTCAATTTTTCCCAGTGCTTCTGGCTAACATACCCCACCCACATCAGCAGCTGATCCACAGGTGAATGCAGTTATATCCACTTTATGTAGTTCTACTTTAAAGTGGTGCATTTCAAGCTCTAACAAGAAAACTAATTGCGGGTAAGTAGGTATTTTGCTAGAAGAGTACTCCCATTACAAGACTGCAGTCCAATCAATCACAGCAATGCACATCAACACTGCACAGACATCCAGTCACACCGTCCCGATTCAGGTAGTTTTTCCCTCAGGCTTTAGGAAAAAAAAACACCAAACCTTTGGACTTGCATGGATAAGCCAGCTACTTGTTGTTTGTAGATTCTTTACATTAAAGCTATAGACTATTTACTGTACCTTACTATAATATCTTATACTGACTTGCTTTCCCTTTCAAAATAAGGAAAGGGATATTACCAAGAACAGTCACCCCCACACCACCTCCAAAGCAGTGCAGAGCAAGCTGAATTTCCAGCTGGGGACCTGAGCAACAAGGAGTAAGTCATTTTGCTAAGACAAAAAGTCTTTGTTAGAACTGGAAATTAAACCCAGCCCTCATAGTCTAGACCAAAAATCTAATAGCTGACCCAGCCTCCTCCAACAACTCAAAGAGCTTAGCTAACACATTAACACCATGTGCCTCGTCCATCACAGACTCTAAGCATGTGACTGCTTCCTAGCATCATAACTAAGTCCTTGCCTGGAAGAGTAAAAAAAATAAGGCAGAAATCAGAATTTATCTTAAAGTATTTAAAAAAATCTAATCCTATGTTTGCTTTTAATTATATGTAAACAATGGAAATACAGTTGTCTGAAGAGAAAACAGCAGACACTGCTTCTGCACTACTAACCTCTCGCTATCTTTTGTGAATTGGATGCTAATCAATTGTAACAACATCCTCTTAAACTATTAGCTAAATAGATGTTGGGAAAGGAAGCTCTTATAGACTGCCCAAATCAATCACATTTTCTTAAGAAATTAGGTGCCCTGTATTGTTCAATCTTTTTAAACACTAGGACACTAAAAGATACCAGAATATGAAAACAGCAGAGCAAAAGCATATACCTCCAATGTTTATCAGCTTCAAATAAAGATTATTTATTCCAACAGCTTTAGTTATAATCACAGTGACAACATTTAAATAAGTCAAATGTATGTGATCAATTTTGCAGCCTTAGAAGTTATTAATTAGTTATGTCCCCTGCCAAAAGACATAACAAGTTTAAATTATTTGTTGAAGGCAGCACAATTTTCCCTAGAATCTTTAAAGAACACATAATTTCTGATCTTATCACTCAGGAGACCGTTGAAACATACAAGTCTAAACAGATCCAGGGATCTGGGTTTCGCTGTACTTCAGCTCAGGAGGACTCTATACTTACTACACTCCTGAGGGTTCTTGTTGCAATAGGTCCATTCCCTCTCTCCACTCCCTCAAAAACCTACATTTCTAAATTCAAAACAAGGATCAGGATGACTGCAAGAGTTTGTGGAAACAGCATAAACGCACTTGGTTTAAAAAAAACCCCTCCCTTCTTGCCAAGACAGATGGTTACAGACATACTAGCACCTGAATGTGCTCTCCAGATTTTTTTTTTTTCCATTTTACTTCAAACGCTTTTCAAACATGTTTAGACAAAAAAAAATTTAATCCTCTTGTCTGGTCTTTAAGCTTATGAGGCTTATTTTGGGGTGGTTTTTCTTCTTCTTCTGGCCACATATTCTCTACTGTGAGCTCTGGAATGATCATGACCCATTAAAGCTTTAAAAACTGAAATTTTATTAAACCTGTCTTTTTAATCAATTAGTATATGGTGGGACTGTACACAGACAAGACTTTACTACTACTACTTAATAATTCTGATATCTCAATGCTCAAACTGGATAAAGTCTACCAAACCCAAATTCAAAAGCTGTAAGTAAACAGAAAATAAACAAACAGCCCATGGGGTCATGTCTTGAATTCTGACTTATAAACACACCAACCTGCAGCAAGTCACCGCACAGCGGTTACACCCAGTCTGTACACTGAGCACTTTCAAGCACAAGAAAGTCATTCAATTCATCCTGGGATAAACCCAATACGGCTAAGACAGGATAATACCACCTTCAGTCCTGCGCTGCACACCTGTAGATTCTCAGTGTCTGGACATGCTGGCCTGTTTTCAGTTTGCTCACTTCTGTATCCACAGCTCTATCATTTACAGACCCCGATACATCAGGCTTTGCCAGTAAAAGGAAAAATAAAGCCCACTCAAACTATGTTTGGATCAGGACTAAAAACTTGCCTAAAGCATTTCAACTCCTCTTTAAACTCATCCTTTAAAACATGGATAACACATTTAATTGTTAATAATGGGACTAAATGAGTATTTATCTAGATGTAATGAAACTTGGCAGAATATTCCAGTATCTTTAAATGGAGAAAAAGTTTGGCTTTTTAAAAAACATGGAAGAGTTCTTCAGGGTTTTTGTTTTTACTACAGATACAGTCAAGATGTAGCACAGTGACAGGTACTATCTTCATTCGCAACACTTCTTCACTTGTGAGCATATAACCCTATTTTCTTCTTTACTTTCACTTTTCTGAATTGTTAAACAAATACAATTTGTCACATATGTACCAATCATCAACAGATTATATTAAAAAAAGAGTCACCTGTTTTTAAGTTATGAGGAACTAGACATCTGAACTTAAATCTCAGGCTGTATCAACTGTCACTTCCATACAAATCCTAAACAAATCAGCCTAGCAACCGTGCAGCAGAAGAGGTGGCAAAGAAGGAAGGACAAAAATAATAATAAAAATTTAAAAGCATATTTTGCTTTTAGTCAAAGGAAGGAAGAAATTAAAGGAAACAGTGCCGAATTTCCTCAGTACTCAACTTGTGGTAATCAAATACTACCTATAGCCATATTTGCTTTAAAGAGGAAGAGAAGCTGAAATGACACCCAACAGCATTTCTAAACTCTCACTTTTC